CCCTATACACTTAAACATACATGCAGTTATCCATATATTCAATTATGTTGAGATTGAACAAACACAAGCAGGCTAATATCACTCTGAACACAGAATAATACTATTTCTGGGTTTCATGTTATGACACTTCAGGATCAGCACTGGGCATTTTACTGTCTCTTTTTCTTCAAAGTATCTGTTCATATCATCATGTGTCATAAGATCAGTTCTCATAAATTGTTTATAGATTCTATACATGCATGAGTCTTAACATGTATTTCTATCCTTTCTATATTAGAGGGAGAAACAAAACATATTCCTATAAACATATGAAACGAAAAAGACATATAAGACTATTATATGAGGAGTTCTACCATAGTTCCTGTGTTGTCTCTATCATCAGACATAGTATAATTGAATATATCAGTACATAACAGTATTAATAAAAATACAACTTTGTATATGGTATAAAACTTCAAAAGCAGGCAGTTATCAAACCAGAATGTGTAATGTAGAATCTTGTTATCTTCTGTGTAGTTACCTATACTCTCAGACTTGATACTATCAATCATATCAGTTTTGAATAAAATCTTTTGATATGAAACAGCAATCAAACAAACCAGATTTAACTAAGATCAGTCACAATAAAACAGTATAAGTCATACAGGGCTCCAGAGTAAGATAATAGGAAATTAAAGATGACCACTGTGATATATCCTGATGTTTTTGGGATAGCTGTCTGTGCCCTCAAATCTGATGCAAGTGGACAAACTGGGACAGAATAAAATCTATCAAAAAAAATCTATCTAAGGAGAGGGGTGTGAGTAATGTGGGTTTTAAATCCTGATACACTATTAACAATATCTTCTGCCATCTTTTTAAAGACTCTCCCTTCCCTTTCACTTTCCCACAGTACACTGTGAATTTTTGGGTCTGACCAAGATCCTTGGTTTTAAATTGGGGAGGTAAATAGCAACCTGCTATTTACCTAAGTGGTTCCGAACCTTCTCTCTCCTTGACTTGATCTCTAATTGTGTTCCTTTACCTATTAAAGCCTGTCTTTCCAACCTAGCCACAAATACTGGTTTAGTTGCCCTTATTGCCCTCTGGTTTTGTGTCACAGAGAGCATTGGTTTCTCATATTTGATTTTCAGTCCATGTATTCTTTTTCATGTTAATTATATCTCCTATAAATAGCATCTCAGTAGAACCTGCTTCCTGATCTACTCCATGTGTGGTTCTTTTTTTTAAATTTAGTGTATCAAGGCCATCTCTATTGGAGATTATAACCAACCTTCTCTGCCTCATTTCTGTTATGTTCTTTTTTTGCCATCAGTTGTCTGCTTATCGTCTTCATTCTGTTTCCTACTCCATTCATTGAGGCATCTCTGCCACTGTTCCTGGAATCCTAGTACTTTTCTCTCTCTCTAGAATGCCCTGCAGTATTCTCTGTAATGTTGGATTGGTGATTGTGAATTTCCGAAGTTCTTCTTTGTCTTGGATGCATCTTGTTTCTCCATTAATTTCTAGAGGCAGTTTATCAGGGTATATCAATCTGGGTTTGAGGTTATTTTCTTTCAAAGCTTGGAATATTTCACTCCAGGCTCTTCTTGACTTGATAGTTTGTGTCAAGAAGTCTGCCATTATTCTGATAGGCCTTCCTTTATAGGTGATCTGTTTCTTGTCTCTAACAGCTTTTAATATTCTGTTCTTATATTGAATTTCTGGGATCTTGATTATTATATGCCTGGGTATAGCTCTGTTTTTGTTGTAGGTGGCTGGAGTTCTGTATGCCTCATATATCAGAATATCATTTCCTTTTCCTATGTTTGGGAAGTTTTCCTTAATTATTTCTGTGAATAGCCTTTGTATTTCCTTTGTTTGTACCCCTGCTTCTTCATTTACATTCTTTATTCTCAAGTTATAGATCTAGCCTTTGTATTGTTACTGCTTGTTTCCTTGTTATTTTTAAAAAATTTTTCCCTTCATAATCCCACATTGCAAAACTGTCCTCCAGTTTGGATAATCTATCCTTAGTTTCTTTCAAGCAGATTTGCCATCTTTCCATAGAGTTTTTAATTTCCTGGTAATCTCTTTGAATGTGCTTGATATATTCTATATTTTCTTTATATTCTTCATCAAATGGTTCTCTCCTTTTTGTGAGTTCCTTCCTTCTCTGTCTGTGTCTGCTTGAGGGGTACTTAGCATCTCTTTTATTAATCTTCTTATATCTTGCTTTACTTGGCTAAATATTTCAGTTTTGAATTCATCTATGAGGTCCCAAAGATATCTCTTTATGTCCACTGGTGCTGTGTCTGATATTGCTTGTTTGCTGTTCTCATTCTCCTTCGTATTTACCTGTCCTAGGTCAATGTTCTCAAAGTTGGGACCTGGGGACTTTTTGTTATTGCTTCCTCTTCCCATCTTTTTTGTTTCTTCCAGGAGGCCCCAGTTTCTTTCTTTGTTGGTTACATTTTCTGAAGCATGCTGGCTGGTGACCCTTCCCACTGCAGTTTGCTAGTGAGTTGTAAACAGAGGCAGTTTATGCTGGCCCCTCCCCTCTGGATCAGTCAAGCTGCTGAGGCCTGCATGGTATTACTGTGCACCGCCTCCCCTCTGGGGCAGCCAAACTTCTGAGACTTCACTGCATTAGTGTGCACTCGGGAAGGGAGCAACTGACTGAAGTCACTGCTGCCCCTTGTACTTGCCAGTCCTGCCCAGTCCCAGAATGTCATCCGCCGGAGCCCCCTTTCTGCGGAGTGGCTCCACTCCCATCACTCACCACAGGTCAATGCAGGCTCCCTGCCAACTCAGCTCTCTATTAGGCTGACTGAGCCCCAACCTCAGTGTGACCACGCCTCCAGTGAGTCAAAGCAGCAGGACCTCGGACAGCTTGGCAAGTCACCCGCGGTGGCAGAAGCACTGAACCTTTAGCTGTTCCAATAATAGTACCAGGACTGTATGTTTGATTGGTTCTTCTCTCCTTAGTTTCTTCTTGTGATGAGAGAATTCATCTCCCTCTGTATGGGGTTCCCCATGCTGTATTATGTTGAATTCTAAGTTGACTATCTCAGGAAGCCTCTGTAGCCAGCTGTTATTTATCTGCCTTCTTTGCAGCATGAATGACTTTTGAAACAAGTCTTGAGGAAGATGGAAGAGGAGAGAGGGACAACCACTGAGAACATTTAGGGTGCTAAAAACATGAGAGGAATATGTTGAATAGGGGGAAATGGTGGCTGAATAGCAGAACTAGATTGTCTCACATAGCATACTGACGTGTTTCCTAGATTTTTGATGCAATGTTTTATTCTAGCTGAAAAATTATGTTACAAAAACTTTAAAAACACACATCAACAAGGTTTCTTTAAAGTAAAATATTGAACTACTGGATACTGAAATATGCCACTGTGCATATGACTCTCTAAGTAGGATGCATTTTTATAGTTTCTGTCCATAGAGCACTTATCAAAGACTGTGTTTAGGGATTAGAGTTTGGAAAAGCATACTTTGGCAGGAAGTGAACAGATTTTGGGGGAACCTTTAAAAGTTTTATATAGATCATTAACATGGGAGGATTTGAATTTTGTAATTCAAATGGTAATAGTGGTAGTACTTCAAAATTCTCTGGCAATCATGTAGGGTATCATTGTAAGATGACAGAATTGATAGCAAAACTCATGGAGGAGACCATGTTTTCAAAGTAGCAAAAATGAGGACCTGTAGTCATGTGAAAGTAGGATAAGAGTTTATGAATGTCTAGAAGGTTTCAATGACAGAACTTGATGGCTGAATGTAGGAATTAAGGGATAGAAAAGATTCAACTTATAGAGAATCAGATGAATGGGTATCAGCAATTAAATAATTAGAAGAGGAGTAATGGGTTTAGGAAGGATGTCTTGAGTTTAATTTTCCAACAAGCCAAAATTGAAAAAATGTATAGGACATCTAAATGGATATTCTAAGAAATACTTCTCTTCTGTGTAAAGCTTTTATTAAGTACACAGATCTTGATATTTGATAATATTCAGGTAGGGTTGCAATTATGAGAATATTAAAAATCACCCAGAAGGAGTGGTACAATGAAAAGAAACATGGGCCAAGAATAAGGATCAGAGGATTTCCAGCAAAAATATTCACATACATAACAACTTCAAAATCTTGAGTCAACTCAAGCCATAAATACAAGTTGCCATTTGAAAGGCACTGTTAGACATACTTCAAGGATAAATTTTGTACCTCTCTTTCATGTCTTTCTCTAGTTAGACTTTATGTTGATCTATATCAAGATCAAAATAATCATTTTGTTACATATTAAAGCATTCTCCACTCCCACTGTAACTAAATCACTGAAATTTTAATTTTTACTTAACTTCAAAGTGCTTCCTTCTTTTACCTCCCCTTGAAAACAGCAATTCAGCAGCAAACAGATCTGAACTAAGTTAACTTATTTGAGTCTATGATTTTTCAGACTGCTAGTGGTGGGTCAAAAATTTCTACATAAAAAGGACTTAATGAAGCAATGTGGTTGAAAGAAGGTGCTAAGACAAGGTTCATATAAGAAATGTTTAAAACTAAAATTGTATGTTACTTTGGGGTATGTGGGGGTTGATAAAATTTATTTTTTATAAGTTACTTAGTCTGTGGCATTCAATTATAATAACAGAAAATGAACTAAGAGACATGGAGAAAAAACCTGTGGGATAATAAATGAAGACTATTAAGATTGAATGTAGTCTTGAATTCAGAGTATGATTCTCTTACTTACCCATACTAACAAATAGAATTCAAGGTATCCAATTAAATTTGAATTTAATTAAACAATAACTTTCATTATGAATATGCCATATAAGTTTAGAACATGCAGTAAAATTTTCCTTTTTTCTTTTTAAATCTGATATTCAAATTTAAGAGGGACATCCTTTTTTTTCTAAACCTTACAACTTTTTAGACAAGTATACTTGCTATGTATATATGATTTACCAAGTCCATCTTTTTTTCCCCTTTACTCTGTGTTCTCCCAGGAGCTGACTCTTATAATCATTGTTTCATGCACCCTCTTGACACTGACAGTGGCTTCTTGCTGAATCCAGGAAATGGAAAGAAAAGAAGAATTGACAATAGAATGAAAAGGAGAGGGTAGGTTCACCTTCTACCTCATTTCTGCCTAGTGAAGTGTCTCTGCTGAGGGAACTATTTCTCTTTAACTAGTTCATGCATGATATTTCCTTTTATGTGGCATTAAATTCTGTTTCTTTTTGGACCTTAGTTTGAAAAGCAAATCTTTTTAAATCCATTGAACCTTAATCTCTTTTTTTTCTTCTTTTTTTTTAATTTTATTTAAGGAGAAAAGAAAAAAAGCAGAGAAAGGGTACAAGTTATACAGATTTACAGAAAAAAAAGTGAACAGTAGGAAATCACTAGTTAATGGATTACATATTGTCATCTTAGAAATAATTGTTCAAGTCACAAAATTAAAGCTTGTAAAATGGACATTCCATCAATGATACTGCAAACAGTTCTGTTCAATGATCCAATAAAACTCTGTGATATCATTTTCTATCTTATACACTTAAATATACATGCAGTTATATAGTTTAGAGCACTTTCTTTTCCTCTCTTTTGTACCATGACTATTACACATTTTGGGTTTCATTGCTCCCACGGTTCTTACTACTTTTTTGGAAGAGAGTAAAACCAAATGTGACATAACAGAACAGAATCAGTCAAGTCAAAAGGGTGGACATAATAGATAATGTAAAAACATAATACAAGGTGATCAACAATGGTTACCATAATGCTTCCCCCTATCTCTAATAGAATTGCCTATATCGTTAGTAATAATACAATTGAACAAAACAGTAAAGAATAAAACCGACAAAACCAAAACATTGGAGACATTGTAGGTCTTCAAAAGTAGATAAAAGTCAACGAGACTGGGCGTTATAATGAATCTCATTATCTTCACAGCTGATGCCTAAACTTTCGAACCTGATACTATCCAGCAAAACAGAATAGGGGAACATCAGTTAAAAACCAGATGGTGAGAGTAATACAGGGCTTTAAATCGAGCTAATGGAAAGTCAAAGTGGGTTACTATAATATATCCTGCTATTTTTTCCTTTAATTAAAAGGATAAAGATAAAAAAGTAAATAATGGAGTGGAGATTGAGATAAAAGAGGGCATAACAACGAAACAGCGCAGTTCAAAACATAACCATTTAAGCAGAATAATGTTTCACCACCAGATAATCCTAACCTAAAAGTAGTTACCATATTGTCTCTTTCCTTGAAATCCTTGAGTACAACTTCGTATACTGTAGCATTAAGTATATCAAAACAATGTAAAACCATTTAAGAGAATGACAGCATTACAGAGTATTTAGAATCAACTAACAGAAAATGAACAATGGTTTCTGTATAATCTCCTTGTCTTTAAAAGTTTTTTGCTTATAATATCATACATAATAAAATCCAATAAGATACAACCTATTTAGACCATTAGAGACAGAAGAACAAAAGCTAGATGAGACTTCAAAACAAGATGATACTAACTCAGTATTACCTATTAAAATGTCATTTTCTCCAAAATAGCTGTTCCTATCATCCAATCTTCTCTGCCTCATTTCTGTTGAGCTCTTTTTCTGTCAGTAGCTGTCAGTTTGTCTTCTTCATTTTGTTCTCTGCTCCATTCGTTGTGGCCTCCCCGCCACTATTTCTGGATTCTTTGTATTTTTCTTTTTTTAGAATATCCTGCAATACTCTCTGTAAAGTTGAACTGGTGGTTGCAAATTCCCCCAGTTCCTCTTTACCCTGGAAGCACCTTGTTTTTCCATCAATTTCCAGGGACAGTTGTGCAGGATATCTCAATCTTGGCTGGAGATTATTATCTTTCAAAGCTTGAATTATTTCCCCCCCACGCTCTTTGTGATTTGATGGTTTGTGCAGAGAAATCTGCTGTAATTCTGATGGGTGTTCCCTTTTAAGTGGTCTGTTTCTCGTCTCTGACAGCTTTTAATATTCTGTTCTTGTATTGAATTTCTGGAATTTTTATTATTATATGCCTGGGTATTGCTCTGTTTGGGTTGTAGGTAGCAGGGGTCCTGTATGCCGCATACACCTGAGTATCTTTACCTTTTGCTAAATTAGGAAAATTCTCCAGGATTATTTCTGTGAGTAGCTTTTGTAGTTCACTTGTTTGTGTCCCTACTTCTTCTTTTATGTTCTTAATCCTTAAGTTATGGATCCTCTTATCATCTTCTTGTCTTTGTATTATTGCTGTTTGTTTCTTTGTTATTTTTAAGAAGTTTTTCATTTCATTCTCCCATATTACAAGTCTGCCCTCCAGTTCAGATAGTCTTAGTTTCTTTCAAGCTGTTATGCCAGTCTTCGATAGACTTCTTAGTATCTTGGTAGTCCCTTTGAACCTGCTTCACGTATTCTATGCTTTCTCTGTTTTCTCCATCAAACAATTCTCCCCTCTTTTTCTGTTCTTCCATTCCACCATCTGTTTTGTCTTGGGTGGTGCTTAGCATTCCTCTAACTATTCTGCATACTTCTAGTTTCAGGTCATTGATAACTTGATTCCTGAATTGGTCTATGAGGCTCTCTATATGGCGCTTTATGTCTATTGGTGCGGTGTCCGCTATTGCCTGTTTCTCAGAATTGGGGGCCGAGGAGCCTTTCTTGTTGCTGCCTCTTCCCATATTCTCTGTTCCTTATATATGCAAGCTTATATAAGAGGCCCAGCTTCTCTCCCAGTCAGCCACAGCCTGATTGAATTGCGCCGGTTAGGTGTTCCCGCTCACCGCTGCGCACCAGGGAGTTACGGACCAGGCAGTCTACGCGTTGCCCCTCCCGGCCACCGTCAGGCTCTGGGATCTGGGTTGGGACAGCCTACTGGGTCCGCGGGCAGCGTCAAGCAGGCCAGGCATTTTTCACCAATCGCGCCCGAGAGGGGGATGTGTGGCTGGAGTCGCCACCACGCCCTGCTCCCGCAGGACTGCTCGGGCCCAGAAAGACCTCCGCTGGAGTCAAACTGTGGTTGAGTGTCAGTTTCTCTCACTCACCTCACCACAAGTCAGTGCACGCCTCCCTGCCCGTTCTGTTTTCGACTCCGTTCGCAGATTGCCGTTCTCAGAGCTTCCACGCGTCTCTCTCCTTGCTGAGCCGATGTAGAGGCAGCCAGCCGCCGTGCGGCAGGAAATCCAAATTGCGGCTTCCAATGGCGCGGGGTCCAGCCTCCACACCGAGGCTTTTCTGTTCCTATTTTAGCGCCAGGACTGCATTCCAAGTTGGTTTCTCTCAGCCCAGTTCGTTCCTGAGTCAGCAGAGCATATCTCCACCTGCTTATATCTCCTTAGTCCGCACCATTCCTGGCTTCTGAGCCGAGTCTTTCAGAGAGCCTCTGGTAGTTGCTGTTATCTGTCCACCATGTTCTCCCGGAAGTCCCTTAATCTCTTTTTGTAAAATGAGAAAAATGATCCTTTCCTTGCACATTTTTTGTAGTCAGATTATATAAGTGTATACCATGAAGAAATCTAACATTTTAACTGGTATTTAGTATCCTATATCTGTAATTTTTTCAAGCTGTACTACAACTGAATAGTGACTGTTGAAAACAACCTAATATAGATAGCAACTATGAACTCCTGAAAAAGTATAAAGGTCATCTTTCTGAAGGAACTGGATAATTATTCAGCAGGTTGATCCTGGGGAAGAGTTACTTAAGTGAAAGAAACAGTATTGGATCAATTTTTCATTTTTATAGTCTTTAAATAAAGGGCGGTCATGAATCTTAGCAGATTGGAAGGTTTAAAAATCCAATAAAAAACTTATAGCCTAACTAGCTGAAGAATCAGAGTTTAGGGCAACTATAGCCACTAAAAATAGAGGGAGAAATTCCAGAAAGAAATGTTCTAAAACTGAGGCGATAACTCCATCTATGAACTGTGCTCAAATTCCAGCTAACCCCCTAAATCATACCTACATGGAGAAGGTTCCAAAGGTTAACTAAAACTAAAATAGTGGCTGAGATTCTAAATAGCTGAGATTTAAGCTTGTTGACTGTTGCTTAAGAGTTAGAAGTTTGAGTTTCTCAAATTAAATAATAAAACAAATGAGTCAATACTTTTTAGAGACATCAGAGAATCAAGAATCTCTCCAATACATCATTTACACTGTCCAAAATATGACCCACAGTAACTTGATGAAGAAATTGGGAAAATGAACAGTATTGAAAAGGAAAGGCAATTGGTATAATGTGACCTTTAAAAAAACTCCAGATGTTGTAAATACCAGATAAAGATTTGAAAGTAAAAAAACTAAAGATTTTGTGTAAAAAAATGGTCACAATGCATGAAAAGAATGGAAATCTCAGAAGAAAATAGAAAAAATAAAACTTATAGAATTGAAAAATATATCTGGAATAAAAATATTGAATATGATTAACACAGAAAAAATTATTGAAGATGATTAACAAAAATATAGTAGAATAAAGAATAAATTAAGCCGGATATAACCAAAGAAAAGCCACACCTAGTCTTATCACTATCAAACTGCAGGAAATAAAAAATGAAGAGATAACCTTGAAAGAGAGCTGAGGAAAATGACATGTTGCATACAATTCAGATGATCCTTAGGGCTGGAAACATAACTCAGTGGGAGATGTTTGCCTGTTATGTACAAGTCCCTGAGTTTGATCCCTGGCACCATAGAACAGCAAATGACTGTTGACTCCTCCTAAGTAACCATGAGACTAGGAAATAAGGAAGCAGCATCAACTAAGTTCTGAAAGAAAAATAAAAACTTTATAGAATTCTAAACTCAGCCAAAAACAACAAAAAACTTCAATAACAAAGGCAAGGAAAAGCACATTTTCAGATAAAAGAAAACCAAGAGAATTTATTTTCAGCAGACCCATACTGAAAATTCTTAGGGCAGATGCAAATGGAAACAGCTAACAATTCAGATCTGAAGGAAAGAAGACCTTTTCAAATGGTAAGTCTGTGGGTAGGTAAGTATCAATTGCCAATTGACATAAAAATATTATTTCTTTATGTTGTGTTACTTTACAGTACATAATGTATACAAATGTGTGTAAGGTAATATTAGATCAGAAATTTAAAGTAAAACACCTA